GCACCACCACAGCCTTAGTACCTGTTCTGAGGAAGGGCCACAGGGTGACTTGCTCAGGGATCTCTCCTCAGCTGTTCCTCTCAGAAAAATGTGCTGCTTAACCCAAAAGCGTCCAGTCCCTCAGTAGCCTCAAGTAGCCTAAACTGCACCAGGGCAAGTTTAGGTTGGACAGAAGGAAGAATTTCTTTGCAGAAAGGGTGATTAGGCACTGGAGTGGACTGTCCAGGGAGACAGTGGAGTCACCATCCCTGGAGGTGTTGAAGGAGAGACTGGACGTGGCACTTAGTGCCCTTTGAGCAACCTGCTCTGGTGGGAGGTGTCCCTGCCCAGGGCAGGGGGTTGGGACTGGATGGTCTTCATTCCAACCCCTTAATACACTATGATACTACTATGGTCTAGTTGACATGGTGGTGTTAGGTCACAGGTTGGATTCAATGACCTCAGAGGTCTTTTCCAGTCTTAATGATTCTGGGATCCCATCACAAACTCAGTGACAAGGAGCAGGCTGCTGCCACCACAGTTTACCTGGCTCACAGGCTGCTCCATCTGTTCTGGGGGGATTTGGAAAAGCACCTGGCTGATATGCTGACAAAGATGGATGCCATGGACACAGGCACCTCAGCCAGGGATATTATCAACCTACTGGTATCAGCAAGAAGTTTCTTAACTGAACTGATATAAGCAAATATATTTCTGATGCTGCAGGATATGGTTTAGAGTTTAGGGGTTCCAGCAGAGTGGCAGGTTAATGGTTGGACCTGATGATCATAGAGGTCTCCTCCAACCTTGATGAGTCCTATGGTCCTAATACAACCTAAGCACCCGATAATGGAGCTGTATGATGTCTTAGTTCTTAGTGAACAGTCATAAAGTTCCTTTGCTATTAAATTATTAGAAATCAGATCTGACAGATGAGACACCCTGTTAGGGCAGAGCATGCTGGGGTGGACCTTGCCCCTTGCCCATCAGGAATGGATGTCATAGCTCACACACCACACAAAGCAGCACATGCTACTCAGAGGCAAGTCCACCATGTTCACACGTGGTGCTTTCTCCCAGCTTTGAGAACATGAGCTTATCTCCTTGAAGAGGGGTAAGGAATGGTGTTTTCCAGCTGTATGGGGAACAGAGCCATCTCACCTTGAACTGCTTGCCACAGGTGGAGCACAGGAAGTCTTTGCGGTCCGAGTGCCGCAGCATGTGCAGCCGCAGCTTGTCGGGGCGGCAGAAAGCTTTGTCACACTCTGTGCACTGGTAGATCTTCTCAGAGTGGAAACTGCGCACGTGCTTCTTCACCTGGAGTTGAAGATCACAGGAAAATGGAGTTTATTCAGGAGAGAAGTGAAGGGTAAAACAGTCTGGGAAGCTCTTCTCAGTAAGAAGGAAAGGACTAAGGTTGTGAAAGTGTCTGATCTGCTTTGGTTTAAAGAGCAGTTGATTAGAACTGTTGATATCTCAACAACAGTTTCTGTAAGGCCATCACATCTTTATTATTCACCTAGATGGATGATTTGATTTCCTTGAGACTGACTCCTGCAGGCATCAGCTACAGCACAGTGCACTTAATGGGCAGCAAAAGTCCAGGATGTACCAGTGGTACTGAATCATCCTGGAGCTAACACATTCAGCTGAGGTTCATTATCTTCCCTTCATTTATAAGGAACCTAAATGCAGGAACTAATTCCTTTCAATCACAGGGAATGAGCTTGCAATTACAATTGGCAAAAACTTAATCAGACAAGCATTTGTACACCACTCCTGAATGGCAATGACTTCTGCATACTCTGGGGCTGTCCTCGACCTCTTCAAGCATGCAGTGGGATTTTCCTCCCCAGGAAAGGAACTCATGAGGTTTGACATTTGAAATCCAGGAACTGGATCTCTAATTAAATCTTTACCATCTCTAACACTGATCATACATGGAACAACTTGGTACCTTTACCTGTTCCACATATAAGTATTTAAGCAGGCAGCAGTGACTAGACTTAATTATTCACAGAGCAGGAAGTGAGAAAATCATCATTAAATTTAAAAATAGAGCTGAGTAGCTGGAAAAGAGCCATGGGACCTTCTCCTGCCTAGATCATTTGCATGGGAAAGTTTATGGGGAATTAGGTTGCAGTACAGCATTTCTGAATCATCAACATGTTGAACATTTACAGAAGATAAAAGGGCTCCTGCCAGGATGGAATTACATCAGTAAATCACTTCTCTATACTCCTCCTTCTTCAGCCCAGTGGATAGTTATGAGTTCCTATTACTGACATAAACTAGATTTCTACATTTCCATTTCAGGCAGCTCAGTAAGACACATCAAACCCTTTATCCCTAGGAAGGATAATGAACATGTGCATGGTATGGCTCAGCTTTTATTTACTGGACATGGAAACAGAATTCTTAAATTCTACTAACGACCTTCTCCAACTGCTCTGCACACTGCTCAGGGTAGTTGTATTACTCACTGCTCCAGTGCAGCCCCTCCTAAGCAATGTGCAGGGAAGGAGAATAAAGTGCCCAGCTGAAGCCCAGGGGGGAAGTCAGGAAGCAAAGTATCCTGATCTGTTCTGGCATTTCTGCAAGCTGTTCACATGAATTATCCTGACAAAAACCAGCCAAGAGATGAAAGATGTAAAACCACTGCTTTTTGTGTTCAGAGTTTGAACAACAAAGGACAAGGTGTGTGAAGTACAAGATAAATACAGCAAGAGACAAACCCTTTTTGGGCCGTGGAGCTGTGGGAGGCAGGACCTCTGCTTTGGGCATTTTGGGGGAATAATTTTCCTGCAGGACAGTGTCAGATGGAAGCAGCACATCTGATGATGTAGTGGACAGAGCACTTTAGTGGCATAAGACAACATCTAGCAGTGCTTGGACACTCTTCCTTTTCAGTTTCTGCCTGGCAGGAACCCTTTATTGTGTGAAAGTGAACTGCTGTGCAGCAGGGCAAGGGGAAGGACTGAAACATCCATACCCTCTCAAGAGACCCATCAGGCAGTGCTTCAAACCAGCCTCTCACCTGGATAAAATCTGGGAAGCGTTTCTTGCAGGTGGGGCAGGTGAAATAGCCATCACTGACGTGGATGGCCACGTGGTCCTTCAGCAGGTCCAAGCGGTCGAAGGACTCGGGACAGAAGATGCAGGAGTAGGTTTTCTGGTCCATGTGGAACTTCATGTGGCTCTCGAGGGCGCCGCTGTTGATGAAGCCCTTGTTGCAGATGTCACAGGTGAGGGGGCAGTTGCCCTCCCTCCCGTGGAAGCGCAGGTGCTGGTCCAGCTTGTCCTTCTCTCGGAAGGCTTTCCCACACTGCAGGCACTTGAACGGGCGGAAGGACTTGCGGATGAACAGGTGCTGCAGGGCTGCATTCTGCAACAAACAGACCATCAGCTCACACTGCTCTGTGCAGATCCCACAGCCAGAGACTGCCCAGGCTCGATGTACCAGATGATCAGTGAGCCCAAACCTCAAACTACCAATCTGCACTAATGCTGTCTCCATTTGGCAGCAGGAGAGGCCGTGGTGGGCACGAGTTGAGGACAGACCTGCAGGTACACACTGTGTCAGCAGAACACAGTGCAGGACTTGCCTCTCCAGGCCCTGATTTCTTCTGACTTAGCTGACTTGCTTTAGCAAGGCATTTTTCTGTCAAACAGTAGTCCTCTCTGAAGTGCAGCCCTGTACAGCAGCAATTCCAGCTGGTTGTTCAAGTTCAGGCACCATGCAAAGGAGCCAGCAGCCTGTCCTTCCCTCAGGACAAGGCTTATGAAATTCCACAGCCCCTTACCAATCACCTTCTGCACCAAAGATCACCACACAGATGTGCAGCAGTGGTTTAGCATTGTCTGGAAAACTTCTGGTGGAGCGTACATTCAAGAGATGCTGATCTAAACCTTTCTGTTATTATCAGTTTCAAAACATGACAGCAGGGGCAGAATGGCAGGTTGATAAGCAGCAGGTAAGGACTTGTGAGCAATTCTCCACTCCTAGTGGAGCTTCTCAGCTCTTTTTGTTTTGGTGTGTGTTTTCCTTCATTCTGCCTTCTCTGTAACATTTCATGATTGCTCTCTCCTCTCTTTCTCCCCTTTCCCTTCAGATAAATGTTACAGAGCCATCCCAATCCTGATCCAGCACTGTCTGCTGGAGGAACAGATGCTGCTGGATGTGCTGCCTGTAGAAATGAGCAAGTGTGTCCTGCACCTGTGTGTCAGTATTGGCTGAGAAGTTTCATGCTGGATAGTTGCTAAGCTGGAAGTCACACTGCAGTGCTGTCAGTCCTCTGCAAGAAGTCTAAGCAACATTTAGTTACTCTTCCCCCAAATAAGATCTGTACAGAGTCATTTATTGACGTCTTCTTTTTCACATATTACACACAGAATCTATATTGTGATAGTTAAGTAACCTTGGGGGTACATTTAGATTGGATATTGGGAAGGAACTGATCCCTGTGAGGTGCTGAGACGCTGGCACAGTTGCCCAGGGAAGTTGTGGCTGCTCCATCCCTGGAGTGATCCAGGCCAGG